CTCTCAATGAGCCGAAGAGGCCCTGACAAACTGTCTCAAGAGTGGGCTGCAACAAATGGCTTTTCATCTTCATCCTCGGATGAGAATGGAAAGTCATTCCTGTTACTACTTTGTCACTTAACTCGTCTGTAGTTGTAGTTAGTTTATTTTTTTGGCTGGCTCACGTATGCATGTACCTGATGGTACATGATTGCACCATACATGCCAGCCATCCCTCCCCATAACTCGCGGTTATGATATACATAGAGTTGCGAATATCCAATAATCGCGTTTGCTTGTAGAGTTGCGAATCACTGTTTTTCGCGTTTCCTTTTCAGGGTAGTGTTGCACCTTGACACGATACGCGATTGGTTTTTTGCAAACTTAGGTACCGAATGTTTGCTTAAAAATAGCGTTGCGAATTATTGATAAACACGATTGCTCGTAGAGTTGCGAAATACTATTTTTCGCGTTTGCTTTTCAGGGTAGTGTTGCGAACAATCACGATTCGCGTTGCTTTTTTACTCTTTTATATATATAATGGATGTCAATCGCGTTTGTAATTTTCATGTTATAAATTAGCGTTGCGATCTTGGTTAATCGTGCGATTTTTTATTTAGCGTTGCGATATTTTCAATGCCCAAATTCTACCCCGATTGTAGTACTAGTAGTAGTTAGTTTATTTTGTGGCCAGTACATGTCTATGTACATGTACCAATAGCCCCTGATTAAAGTTAGAGTTGCGAATAATATAAAATGTTCGCGTTTGCTCGTAGAGTTGCGAACAAATATTTATCGCGTTGATATATCAGTATTGCGAATAAATACGATTCGCGATTGTCTTTACGCAAACCTAGGAACCGGGCGTTTGCTTTAAAAATAGCGTTGCGAATTTTTAGTAAACGCGATTGCGAATTAGAGTTGCGAATTATTATTTTTCGCGTTTGCTTTTCAGGGTAGTGTTGCGAATAATTACCATTCGCGGTTGCTTTTATTCTTATAAATCGCGTTTGTAATTTTTCTATTATAAATTAGCGTTGCGATTGTTGATTTATCGCGTTGTTGCCCCGTAGTGTTGCGATATTTAAAACGTCTAACTTCATCCCCATATGTGCCACTCTATTGTAGTTTGAAGTAGCTTGATGTAGTTAGTTTATTTTGTGCATGTATGTTTCTAGCTACAACCGAAGACGCCAGCACCTGATCCAGCGTTTTTGGGCAACGCGATTTGCATTAGCGTTGCGAAACATAAATGTATTTCCATTAAAGATAGAGTCGCGTATATACAATAATCGCGTTTGCTTGTAGAGTTGCGAATTCCTATTATTCGCGTTTCTTTTTCAGGATAGCGTTGCGAATTCCATACGCGATTGCTTTTTATTGTTATTTAAGAATAGCGTTGCGAACGTACTGATCGGTTTGTTCTTAGCGTTGCGAATTACTATTTTTCGCGTTTACTTTTCAGGGTAGCGTTGCGAATAATCACCATTCGCGGTTGTTTTTATTGTTATAAATCGCGTTTGGAATTTTTATATTATAAACTAGCGTTGCGATCTTGTCGCGTTTTTTATTAATTAGAGTTGCGATCCAATGCCCAAAAGCTGGTCAAAACGCTGCTCACTGTACCACTGCACTCATCGAGAAGCAAGCTGGTATTCTGCAAAGCCTCGAATGGCTCAACGTCATTATTAAAATTAGTGTTGCGCATGATTGAATATGGGTGCATGCGATTTAATTAATAAAGGAACCCTGTATGGTTCATTTTACGAATAACGAGCACCATTCGCGTATAGTTTTTTATTTTATAAATTAGCGTTGCGAAAGAAGAAATGGTTCACTCACGGGTTGTTTGAATTTAACACGAGTGGACGTTTATTCCAATTATGAGTTTATTCTCAAAAGAAATACTGCTTGAAAGTACTGTTGTGAACAGACCAATTGTTTTATTCTTCATAACGTGTTAAAATCTGTAATATATGGGAATGTATTTTCATCACAGATTTGTGATGCATTTAAAAATTCTATATTATGATTAATTTTATTGTAGATTGAATTTATGATTGTTATATAGATATCTATATCACTAATTATTCATTCTTAGAGTTGGTAATTTTTACGGGATATAATAACGTTTGCAATCCAATTGTTATTTATAAATAGCGAATTTTTTATAAATATTCTGTACTCTTTGCATAAATCAAAGTTTGTTCGCGATCATTGTTTTAATCGATGGAAAATAGAATGCTTGCATCAAAAGGGTATGCAAATTGCAATTCGATATTTCATATTGAGAGTTAATTGCCGCGTAGAATCGACATTTTCGTTAGCTATTGCTTTTTCTGTATGAATCTAATTTAGTTTTGAATACAGTAAAATATAATTATTGCAATGTATACGTCTTGAAAAATTGTTTATTTCATAAAGGAAACGAAAAATAAAATCTACGGGTAACAAATGAATAAAATTTTCATTCTATTTCGTATTTATCTTAACACCGAGGCGAATTTTCATTCAATTTCACGTAATATTTTTGTTTTTAAACTTTTTAATATCAATTTTTACTCGTGGAAGCTCAAATATTAATTTCATAATATCACTTTTTCTATGATCGGTTACCATTAGTCTATCTTGACGGTATATAATTATTTTTTTTTATGTTCATTAATACACTTTCATTTCAGCTTTTAATCCTTTGAACAAGTTCTTGTTACAGAATATATAATCATCGAAGAATGGAAGTGGAAATGGTACACGGATTCCATCTTGATCGCTCTTAGAGAAATATTTCATACAATTTTATTTATTGTCTGATTTATGTTTCAGGGAAACATCGTGGAATTAATCAAGACACCAAGAAGAAATGTTTTTTCATATTTATTTGTTTTATATGAGTTATATATTTTATTGGATATGAATTTTTGTTTCAGGAAAACATCGTGGGAGTGACGAAGACACCAAGAAGAAAATATCTTGTTATATTTCTTTGTTTCATGTCGGTTATATTTATTGTATATGAGTGTATGTTTTAGAAAAACATCGTGGGATTGATGAAGACACCAAGAAGAAAATATTTCCTCATATTTCTTCATGTTTGTACAGATTGCGTTAGAATATAAGTACAAATGTATATAGATTATAAGATAAAAAAGCGTTCTCCTGCCGTTTATTAAATATTACCGAAACGTGTGCGTAAATTTAAGTGGGAATGATTAATATTAAGATACATATTAGTATTCTAATATGCAAGGTCCATACGTGCAGTTGCACATTTCTGGTTGGATCTTCAGGATCCTTTCTTCGTTTTGTACGAGTGTCTTGTTAGGCACTGTCATAATGCAAGTATTTATTTAAGAAGGAACAATTAATAATAAAGTACATATTGATACTTTAGTAATCAGGATTCATACGTGCAGTTGCACATTCCAATTTCGTTTCTAGAAAACATGTGATGGATTATTTCACATGTATCAACATTTTGTTAGGTTTTTGATCTCTTCATCAGTCAGAATTCGTGCGTGCAGTTGCACATTTCAATTTCGTTTTTAGAAAACATGTGTATCATCTCACATGTATTGACATTTTGTTAGGTTCTTCGTCTCTTGATTGGGTAGTTCTTTTAAGAACTCTCCTTTTGTAGCTCATTTCTAACTTTTCGATAGCTTCACCCTTAGATAGGTATTCGAATTCCTCGCCAAAGGAAGGGTGGTTGGGGCGAGGCTAGGGTGGGTCTCCAGTCGCAGCAACCTCCACGAGGTGAGACCTGGGGATTATTATTTACTATGTAATTAATATAATTATTAACTACATAGCAAATAATATGAGCTAATGGCTGCGTTCTTCTTATAGTTCCACATACCTACTTCGTCCTGGTGTGCGGTCTGATAACACTGATTTCGAGTCGCAAATACGTTTTTGTCGAGTTAGTTTTTAAATAAATAATATATTACAATTTAAAATAAAAAATAGAGGATTTGCGATGTATTTATCAATGAGATCCTTACGTATTTTAATAATTTTGAAATCTTTAAATAATCTCAATCGATTGGTTATTCCAATGAAATTAATCGATTGATGCTCAATTCTGGACCATACAGCTTTCATTCCGTTAAAAAATAATAAAATTTATGTAATTTTATTTTCTGTCTCACTTCCTCTTGTGTTAATTTCTGAATCTGTTGATAACGTTGCGAGTGACACGAAAATGGTAATGGGGTCCCGGGACCCCAGAAACTCCGGCCGAAAAATTACATTAGGTGAAAGGTCTATTCATATACCTCGTCTGTGCTGATACTCGCTTTCCTTCTCGCTCTTGCATCGTTGACGTCGCTTACATTTCTCGTGTAGGGTCTACTCGTATATCTCGTCTGTGCTCCCATTCTATTCTAAGTCGATAACGTTGTATTCAGTTAATTAATTGCCAAATTTATCCAATATCTCGTCTATGACATTAAGGTTCATCATGCACATTATTTATGTATAGACTTTTCACATCGATGCACCAGTAGAGGACGAGTTTTTCATTTACTAAACTTGCCGACAGCAATGCACTGGCTCAATATGACTCTCTAAGTTACCATTTTTTAACACAGAGTGCGCATAAAAATCATTAATTTATCGTGAGAGGATAGTTCAATTTTTATAATACAAATTTCGTAAGATGTTATGTTAGTCTTACACCATGTCCGTGGCATAATTAAATTGGTGTCCATTAAAGTAACTATCCGTTCGATTATACGCGTTCACCGTGTGCTAATTTCACATGTGGGTCATGACGTGTTGTGCTCAGGAGCAAATATCGCCCGTACAATTAATCCGAGAATTTTTAGGGAACTAAAAAATACAGTTACATGAGTGGAACAATGATAGATCGTGTTTCACAAAGAAGATACAATATTTATTATCATACATAAAATTCTTATCGCCTCTCTAGCCGTTCCACTGGACATGCACGCACTCACAGATACTGTAAATGTGTTAAAGACAGAATGCGGGTAAGTATTATCACGTGACCACAGCAGGGACGTATTAGTAGGCGGCGGTTCCCCGGAATAACTATTTATGCATGTTATTATGCATCTATTCAGCTTCGTAAATGCATGTTAACATTTAAAAGAGTGAATCTATGTACAGAACAAGTAACAAATGTTATACGAATATAACTCGTACATACTATCACAAATTCTCAGTTACATAGATTTAAAGTAAGTGCAACAAGTATTTGCCTTTTCCGATTATTACACGCTATTAATACGCTTCGACCTGACCCAACGTTTGCACACATTAACGTTTCAAGTTAACACGAACAAGAATAACGTCCACAATGTTATACATTGATGAATCACGCTGTACAGTAAAGAAGTGCTATTACTAACATTAATAATAGTCTTTTAACGAAAGCTTTGCCATCGGTCTTCGAAACTACGGTCGCATTATTTCGTATTTCGCCCTGCTTTTCTTCGAACTTGTTGCGATACGCCCCTGGTCGGATCGGCGCGTCGATACAGCGGACCAATGAGGTTATGATCACGTGAATATCATACAAGCAGTTCTGTTTTCGTCCGCTCCATCTTTCAGTAAAACATACAACAGAACCGATGGTATATACGTGCGATAGTAGCGTACTATTTTCTCGGTCGCCGCATTTAAAAGCTTCAGAGCCGAGAGGTCGTCTTTTACTGTAAGTACAGACATTGTTCACTTCAAACGAACGTTTCCAACCAAATACAGGGATTTATTTCTAGCTGGAAAGCAATTGCGTTGCATTATTCGGTAGAAAACTTTCACTAGAAAGGTAAACTAATCACAGCGCATGTGTTGATCAGGAAAAAGCGACAGAATCTTCGAATTTTAGCCGTTATAAAATTTTGTTGCTTCACCCCTTCGGGATCAGACGCGTCTTTTTAATCCTTCTAAAAACAGACGTCGACGACCCCGAGAATGTTCGAAACGATCAACCGGAATAGTTAGTTTTTTATGAGAATAAAATTTAGATTTCGATTTCCAGTTGTCGTAAATGAAACACAATGTCTAGTACGGATACTGCCGATGAAGTAGACACTAATGATTTCACTTTGGGCCCCCCTAATAAAAGAATTAAAAAGACACATTTGTCTGTCGAAGAGAAACAGTTGATTCTAAACATTTATAAAAGTTTAAGTCAAGAGAATCCGATCATGTTAATAACCGATATCGTTTCCAAAGCTGCAAACATTGCAGGTAATTATTCGAAAATATATAATTGCATTCGCTTCAGAGAAAATTCTTACGAGCGAATAAATATATTCGAATAAAAAAGTTAATTAATTCGGACCATTTTTACCGTGAAATCGATCTATTTTCAAATCTTTTCTCAAGTGAACTTAAAATACTAAATTCGATCAAAATTTTAAACATTTGAAAAAATCGATTTCGGTGTAAAGAATGGCCCCGAAAGAGGTAAACCTTTTTCACGGTCGCACTAATTCCAGGGGTGTGCAAATCTACTGTATATAGGGTCCTTCGAGAATACAAACGAACGAGCACGTTATCGATACCGAAAGAAAAGAGAACTCGCGATACGACTATCGATTTAATAGATGATTTAGACAAAAACACGATCAGAAGGAAGGTGCACGAATTTTATATGAAAAACGAAATTCCTACTGCCGAGAAAGTATTGAAAGTTGTAAACGACGACAATGATGTACCTAATGTTAATAGAGCAATTTTGTATAAATTATTGAAGATATTAAATTTTCAATACGCTCGCAGAGGTCGAAGTAGCATGTTGTTCGATAGAGAGGAGATCGTAGTATGGAGGAGGGAATATTTGAAAAAGATAAAATCGTTTAGGAAAGACGGGCGAAAGATTTATTATTTGGATGAAACTTGGATAAATGCCGACCCTACGAAGCGATACGTTGTGAAAGTGGAAACAAATTCCTCCATGCCAGCTTCTTCGTCTGGATTGTATACAGGTATGAGAAATCCCTCTAGCACAGGGAAACGACTTATCGTTTGCCATATTGGCAGCAAAGACGGTTTTCTACCAGGAGCAATGTGGGCTTTTGAATCCACAAAGTCTGGTGATTTCCAGGAAGAAATAAACGCAGTTTCTTTTGAAAATTGGTTTCTAAAGGTTCTGGCAAAATTAGAAAAATATGCCGTGATTGTCATGGACGACGCGCCATATCATTCTAGAAAAGTTGAAAAAATCCCGACCACCGCTACCAAAATAGAAAATATTAAAAGCTGGTTAATATCAAAGAACATTCAATTCGACGAGAATTTGTTGAAAGCAGAGCTGCTCGCGATCGTGAATACACTGAGAAATAAATACGATGCTTACGTCGTAGATGAAATAGCAAGGAGGCACAATAAAATTGTACTTCGACTTCCGCCGTACCATTGCGAATTGAATCCTATCGAATTGATCTGGATGGAAATCAAAACTTACATAGCTTCCTACAATACATCTTCAAAATTTAACGATATTAAAAACTTGCTCGTAGAGGCGGTGGATACAATTAGTCCAAAAAAGTGGAAAAGTTCTGTCCAACACGTCGAAGAAAAAGTCGAAACAATGATGTGGGAACTGGACAATATTATTGAAAATAATACTGAACCGATTATTATTAACATAAACGAAGCTAGCTCGTCGTCTGATTTTTCAGATGAATCTTAGTCCCGTTTTGAGGTTATTTCGTTCATGTATTATTATTTTGTATATTGATTTTGTAAATATATTATTATTTAATTAGGCTACTCGATATTTGTACATATTTTGTCTTATTAATAAATTATGTATAAAGTTGTAATATATTTTATTACCATGTACACGGTTTTGTAACTTTTTATTCGGTGAATAATACCCTATTAACACGTCCCTGTTAAAATTCTGTGGTTCTATTGCTTCCGTTTGTCCGTACTTGTTTTTAAATGAAATTATAAATTATACTTACATGTCATGCATGCAAACTTTATGTAATCATTTGGATTATATCTATGTATGTATCTATCACAGATTTTAAGAGTCTCTATTTATATCATATACATTTTAAATTATTCTATCATTATTTAATCTGGTTAGTGTCAGTTAAATTTTTAGGTTAGTATTTAATACAAAGTTGGTACTTATTTTAATGCTGGTTATTCCAAGTGTTAGTAAAAATCAATTTTAATCTATTTTTTATTATTTTTCCTGAATGGTTAAATACAAGATAGTTTCAATAAAATATGGTTTTGGATTGTTGAGATTATGAAACTCTAGGTTTTCTTGGAAGTCTTGTAGGATTTTTTAAAGAAAGTTGTTACTGTGTGCTTGGCTTTGCAAAACCATGTTTCTTTTGATCCCTACTACATTGTATCTGTATTAACTAAATCATTTCTTTGAATATCATGTAGTGCAAATAATTAATTGATTATTAGTTGAATATTTGTTTGACTAGTAAAGTTATCCATACACATCAGACACGAGGTAGGTCTTTTTGCATCGATGAGCTTCTACTGCAGCTTTAATGATCGCATATTCAGCAATAAATATCGAATGATTTATGTTTATACTAATGTTGTTTATCTTTACACCAGATAACTGGTATCAGTTTCACTGTGTACTTTATGTTATTGTATAATCCGAGATGTCTATGTCTTATTTGAAGCAATTCGCATAGTGTATATTTATTTGTTTTCATAGAAGATACAGAAGTACACAAACCATACTATAAGTAGTACAAAGTATACAGTCTCTATGTAATTAACAATTAACATTAAATAACACTGTTCTAAATTTAAAAAGGTAGTATATTGAAAGGAAATTTTGGGAAAATATTGGTCATGGGAGTATGGTAATTCATTGAAAGAGGGCCTATAGATCGAGGCCCTTTTTCAGGGACGGTAAATACATTAATTTGAGATTATATACGTCGGTTTATTTAATAACTCAAAGCTTATTCGTATAAGAAAAATGAATACACTGCTATACGAAAGATCACACCTCCATCTACGTCTAAGTTTGTCGAGAAATAGTTCGTTGTCTTCGAAGCTAGATGGCATCTCAAGCATGTATCCCAAAAAAAATATTTTCGAATATTATTATTAATATATTAAAACTAAATTACTAGATTAAGAATTTTTTACTTGTTCATGTTACACTTATATACGTATAATTCTTCGATCTATGGTCTCAGTTTGTAAGCTTAAGATCCCTGTTTAATAAATACAATTAAATTATTAGTATTCATATAAAAACAGAGTAATAGCCGTTGCGCGAGGTGTTGCTATCTGCAACTATTCAACGATGTTAAGCAACGTAACGAAATATTTGCACGCGACCAGTTTCAACTGATTACGCGCGTGCATTGTTGTCAAAGTATAAATATTGATTCAGACGAAACGGGAGTTATTTTGGAAGGAATCCGAAAAACGTAAGTGCTAATTTGTCTTTGAAAGGAACTACTCTATATGTAAATCTAGTTTTTGCGCGCGAACAAGTCATTGATTATTATAGCTCTGGATGCTGAGGCTGAGGTACAGTATTCCCTGCAAACATTCGTTCGTTGCTTTCGAAAGGCGGAACGTGACGCGCGTTACCGACGCGAAACGCATTTACCATCTGTCTATCGCGTGGTTCGTGCTCGTGTCGGGAACTGTTTGACAGTGCATACGCGCGGTAGGTACTACCCTCTGCAGTCAGGTAGGAAAACGGGGGGTGTGCGAGTGTGTTCGTTGAAACGTTAGGTGATCAGCTGTGCGGTCTCCGCGGCGGACATTTCCCGTGCGGTGCGGTGTCGGGCGTTCGAAGTTTCTCCGGCGTTCGGACAGAGAAACACGACACGCGAATCGCGGTAACGAGGATCGAAACGAACGGAAGCGTGAACGCGCGCGAGAGTACGCGGTGGCGGCGATAAATCGGTAGTATTTTCGGGTGTAGGGGGGGGAGGGCAAGTGAGGCATGACGGGAACAGGTGACAATAGAGCTTCGCCATGTTAGATTTCACGAGATCGCGAAACGTGCGCCGCTGCTGCTGCTGCTGGTGCTAGTGGAGAGAGAGAGAATTTATTTTGTTTTCTCGACTCTCGTGCTACTTTCCTCGGCGGTGATCCAACTGAAAATCATCCAAGCTGGATAGGTTACCCGAGTATCTCCGCGATACCGTGGACTGGTTTATGGGGTAAGTTTTTTCGTGTGCAAAATTATTCCGCGCGCGTTCCTCCGCGAATTTTCCCCAGAAACAGAATTCGACCACGGAGAGTGTTACAAGAGGGGAGGGGAAAAAACGGTTAACCTCGACGATTCGTCGAACGGCCTAACCTCCCCGTCGAGGTTGACGCTCTCTCGTTCCTTGTCGTACACTTCGTTTCGCTCTCGATGATCGCCTGTCCTTTCCCTTATTCTGAGAGAAAGTAATACCCGGTTGTTTCTGTGTCAATGCGAAAATCGAAACCGCTTCTCTGCGCGCGATGTCATTCGGAAAATTTCGTTCGCCACTGTCACGAAATAACGCGTGTATAAAACATCGTCAACGCAAAGTGTTTCGCAATGTTGAACGTCGCGTTTTCGCTAAAATCAGTGTACAACGCGAATGACAGCCTCGATTACTCGTCGTTGATAAAGTTATAAGGATTCACGTAAATCGTGGATATTGGTATTCCTACGCGAAAGCACGGTTTCGAGCAAGTCTATGCGCGTTTATCGAACACCAAGAAGTTACGTTACCTTGATTTGATTTCTTGTTCCTACCCTTTTATCGTTCGATACGTAAGAGAGGAGCGTATATCGTTTGCCTTAGAGGACTTACGTAAACGCGAATCGCGCGCGTCTTCCGATAAAACCGATAAAGTGAAAAGAACTTTTCTTCTTAATGTGATCGTAGCTCGACCGAACCGCTGTGTACGGTACGTTATTTTTCCATCACGTATTACACTGTCGACATTTTTTAAAATGTGTATACTACCATTATTTAAGATAGAGAGTAGTTAGACCTTACGAACAAGGTGTAGTGTGTTGACGTTGTTCGATTTTAGGTTATTCGTTGTACGTAGAAATAGAAATGGATATCTGTGTGCCGTAGATTCGAAACCGAGAATATGTCACGTTGCTTCTGTTTGTTTTTCCCTGTTTAATCGTACCGTGACACGTGCACGCATTTATTGTGCTCGTCACGTTCGGGAACAGTATCGTATCCCGTACACGTTGATCTTTAAGATCAAGTATGATATGGTAAAAACGTAGTGTGATGTTATTAGTTTTTCGACTGTATCAACAAATGTGAATTTTCATCGATGATTCGAAAGATGCGAGAATATAAGTGCAGGAAATATATATTCCACTTTTAATGCTTTTAACACTTTTCTAGCTGACAGAACAGGAACGCACGCTTACGTTCTTACATCTTTCGTTTCTACATTTACGACGAATACTGTAAAAGTTTTTTCAACGCTTATGAATTAATTAATACGTGTCTGTTCGCATTGCAACGATAAGATTATCACTTATCGTCACCTACATATTACAAACCGCTTTTAAAGAGAGCAATGTTGATAAATTGTAATATACTTCGTTATAATACGACTGGTGCGAAATTCGTCGGTGCCAGTGTCTTGCAGTGACCGTCGATAAAACGATTATTATCGATCACGGGAACGCCGTATTCGAAACAGAGCAAGATATATATTTTTCTTACCCACCGGATGGACTTACGACCATAAAACTGGCAAAAAGGAAAGCGACGTGAATTCGCGCGAAGCGATTTCAACGGCGAGGTCGCTTTAACTCCTTAATGGTTTGCGGTCTATTTTTTTTTTAACCGCGAGCTGCGGTTAAAAACGTATAGTTTATCGCGCCGCAACAATGGAACGGGCGAATACGAAACAAATGGGATGCTTGGAAAGTTAGACAGCGCTGTTCGTTTCGATTAATCGAACTGCTACTTTTACGATATCTACGCGATCCCTAATTTATTTTCCAGAAACAATTTATGACAATTAATGTCAAGCACGGAACATGTACAGGGTGTTCGACCATCTGTGGGAAAAATATTAATGGGAGATTCTAGAGGCCGAAATAAGACGAAAATCAAGAATACCAATTTGTTGATGGTGGCTTCGTTAAAAAGTTATTCACGTTTAAAGTTCCGCCCGTACTGAATTTTTTTCTTGAAAATGCGCAGGATTTCGGGGGTACGTGTATTCACCAAAAATGATTGTAATTGACCCCTGCAACTAAAAATAATTTTTTTAGAACGATTTGAAATTTTTTAATTTTGTCGTAAAATTTCACACCTTCTCGAATTTTTTTCTCGATAGTGAGTAGGATTTTGGGGGTACGTGTATTCACAACAAACGATTATAATTGACCCCCGCAACCGAAAATAATTTTTCCAGAATGATTTGGAATTTTTTAATTTAATTTTTTAATAACTTTTTAACGAAACCTCAATCGAGAAATTGATATTCTTGATTTTCGTCTTATTTTAGCCTCTAAAATCTTCCATTAAAGTTTTTCCCAGGGGCGGCTGAATACCCCATATGTAACTCGTAAGGAAGAAAAACAAGTTCTGGTCGATATTTCTAATCACGTGACGTCGACTGATTCTGGTATCGATTTTAGGAATAACAAGGAGAAACCGATGGAAAAGTATATTTCAATCCGTGTAATGTTTACGCGAAACGATAATGGGGTAAACT